TTCCTTTAAAATGTAATCTCATTCAAAAATATGCAAGAAGTGTAAAAGAGATTAAGCATCCAAAGACTTATCGCAAGGTGACCGGGCAAAATATCATTTCTTGCTCGTTTTTGCTCCAAATTGCACCGTTTTTGCATCTTTTTGCTCCAATGACCATAATTCATCATATCTGCAACAAAACATCAAAAATACCCTTCTTTAAAGTGTAGTATCATCAAAATCAGTATAAAATAGGTATGAAAATCTCAGCATATTTTTCTTTGGTCAATATACAATATGCATACCCACTAAAATGTATTTCAGATGTAAGTTTTGTATTCATATTTGCGGTAGAACATTAAACAAGATGAAACAACATCTCACTAGCATACATAAGGGCACAACCATGCACTAAACCCCTGCAGAAGTTCTAGAGAAATGCAAGAAAACATTAGAGGAAGTTGCAAAAATCAAAGCACAACATGATAATGTATTAAGTGACATTAGAAGTAGTGTAATAAATATTTTTAAAGGTCAAAATGTCATTAATTCATCACTAGTGGACTCCTCTCAGAGGACACCTAGAGAATCTCCACAACATAAGCTAGCAATTCTATTCTAAATTCCAATTGGAAAAAAAATGATGAAAGAAAAGAAGCATGTAAGGCACCTGGTGGATTTTTCTACATAGTCGGGTTGACATTTAATGTTGCCAATGCTCTATATTATATGTCTATGTTTAAAGTAGTTGTTAACTTTGGACTTGGTTTTACTCCACCTACAATGCATGAATTAAGAACTTAGATACTCAAAGATGAAGTTGTTACACTCAATAATATGTTAAGCATAAGAAATCATGAAGTAAATATAGCTGCTCGATTATGTCATATAGTTGGAGAAATGAAAAATTAGAGTTTTGATTAATTTTTTTTATTAACATTTCAGTTGAGACTTTTTTCTTAAATCTATAGTTGCTTCTAATACTATAAAGTGTGGCGAGCTATTATTCACTTATTTGAATGACGTGATTGAGGAAATAGGAGAAAAAAAAAATGTTGTGCAAATTACAATAGATAGTGAGTCAAATTATGTGAATGCGAGTACAAATGCAATGAAAAAAAGACAACATATTTATTTTGGACGCTTTATACCTAATGGTAGAAGATATTGGAAATCTGAAAAGTTATGAAAACACACTTGAAAAGGCAAAACAAGTTCTTAAATTCATTTATGAGCACACCTGAGTTCTTGGCTTCATGAGATCTTTTACAAAGAAGAGTGAACTCGTTCGTCCAACCTTTACACTATTTTCTACTGAATATTTGACCCTTCAAAGCATTTACAAATTGAACCAACCACTTTAGGTAATGTTCTCTTCATAAGCTTGTTGTTCCAGTCAATGAGCGAAGAAGATAGAATGTATAAAATCTCGTGTTGTTAATTAATTCTATCCATATTTTGGGGTCATCTTGCTTCCTGTATCAAAACTTTTGCACCGCTTGTAAATATTCTAAGGGAGATTGACTTAAAAGAAAGGCTAGCCATGGGTTATATTTATAAGTTAATGGAATTAGTAAAAGAAAAAATTACTTTCAATTGCGGGCATAATGAAAAATTAGTATGAACTTATTTGGAGGAAAATTGATGCAGGATGAAAAGAATGTTAGATTATGAAGATATCCTTAAAGCTGGTATTCAACTAGACCTGTATGATAACTTTATAAGAGACTTTGGGAGTATATTTGCTATGGACTCAAAATAGTTAAGCTCTCCTGCTGATTGGTGGATGAGATTTGGTGGGAAAACAACTGAGTTAACGAATTTTGCCATTCGAGTTCTTAGTCTCACCTGCAATTCATTAGGCTGTGAAAGAAATTTGAGCACTTTGAATTTGTAATAATTTTTTATCTCTTAAAATTATTATTATTTGCTTTCATATTCAACTTCTAAAAATAATTTTTATATTAGATTCATATTAAGGAGAGGAACATGTTGGAGCACAAGAGGTTGAATTCTCCGGTAAATATAAGACATAATAGATTGAGGGAGAGAAGTATAAGAAGAAAATAAGATTTTATTCCAATTTTGATAAATGATAGACTTTGATAATGAGTGGATTGTCAAGAAGGAAAATCAAGTGCATCGAAAGGAACCTTCTTGGGTGAATGAAGGAGAACAAGTATTTGATGTTGATGTAATCAGAAATGTGCCCATAACTAATTCAAATGAAGAAAAAAAAAGAAATGATATTTTTATTACATATTCCCATAGAAAAAGGAAGTTGAACGAAAGAACAAGTATGTTTTATATTTACATTTAATTTTCCCTTACATATTTATGCATTATTATAGAGAAATATCCTAAATATTTATGAATGTCATTTTGTTTGTTTTTATAATTTATGCAACAATGATAAAGTGAAATAAATTGTATTGTGAATGCACTTGAGATTGAGCATGATGATGACTTTACTGAAGTGGGCAATGAATGCAGAAAATATCAAGGACCTAGTTCTGATTTGAACACAACTATTGGTGCAGAAGAAGATTTTGAGGATGAACTTGACGAATAACAACATTCAAGGATTGAGATCAATTAAGCACAAGTTCATTTTTTAGCTCAAACATGTTTACTTATTTTTTTATGTTTCTAATTTTTGTGGTGAATTTATTATGCTAATATTTTGAAGATTTTAATCCTAGAATACTTGTTTTGAAATTGAATGAGTATAAGTTCTTTTAATGTTTTTAATAATTTTTTTATTAAGCACAACTAGTTTATCCTCTGATCTCTTAATATTTATATTTATTATATTTCCTTATACTGTGTGGCTTACACCCATCGTTTTGGGGTTGACGCCTTGCCCCGTAACAACAAAAATGCCCTGCCCAATGCTCACACCTTTCATAACATTGTACAAGACAAATACTTGGAATTTGATGCCTCTACCACAAGTTAAGAGTGCAATTGGTTGTCTTTGGGTGTGAAAGATCAAAATTTTGTTATATTAGTCGATTGAGAAAAATATAGAACACTATTGTTTGCTAATGGGTTCTTGCAACAATATAGCGTGGATTATGAGGAGACTATTGGATCTATTGCAAAAAAGAATACTCTTCATATTTTTATTACAACTGCATAAATTAATCGATGACATTTATTTTAGATGGATACAATATATAACCTTCTTTAATGGTGATCTTTATGAAGCTGCGTGCATGATTTCCCTTCCAAGTGTGTCTTATAGCCTTGAGGAAGTTTGCAAGCTTAACAAAAATATTACATATCTCCCTTAACTTTCACCCTTTGCATTGATATTGCACTCTAAGTACACTTTTATTGGTTGTATTTTGCTGTTTATATGTTAATAATATATTATTGTGGGTGATACTATTGATGGGATTGCAGTTTTGAAATCTAAATTAGCTTCGTATTTTGAATGATAGCTTTGAACTTTCTACATTATTTCCTAAATATTGACATAGCTCTTTTTCTAAAGGCCAACTTTTTCCATAGCTTAAAGATGTAGTTGATATTATTGAGCGTACTCATCTTGCTGATGCTAAACTTGTTGATATTATTTTGTAATTGAAATCTTGATATTCTTCATTAATTGGAAAACCTGGCTGGCTTCATTTTATAAATACTTTTATTAGTAGCTTGGTTTTTCTCATCATTATATGACCGAATATTGCCTTTGTTGTTCACATTATTGGTCAATTTGTTTCTTTTACTGCCACTATTCATTGGACTATTTTTTTGCGATAATCCTTTGTTTCCATAAAATCTTATTTAGATTTGGATGCCTATGTTGATGTAGAATAAGTCAATGGTCTGGCAGATCGTAAACTTATGATTAGTTTTTGCATATTTGTTGGAAGATTAAGAGTGTTGTTTCTCGATTTTTAACCAAAGCCTAGTATTTTGCTAGAACATCTATAACCATTGAGACAATTTAATCGTGATGGTTGCTTGTGGATGTGGGTCTCTCTCTTTCTCATCTCACTCTAATGTATTATCAAAATAGAAGTGCCCCTCGAGATGAATAAGCATTTCAAGATTGATTATATTTTCACTCGTCATTACCTTTAGCATGACACTATTTCTTGTTTGTAAATTGTAGATTTAATATGAAGTCACATCGGCTTCCACATTTCCTTTTTGTAGGTAAACCTTTTATGCTTATCGCCGATGTATTATGAGTTTGTGATGATGCTAGTTTTATTATAATTGAAAATCTTATCATATTAATATTATCAAATATTGAGTTATTACTTCTAAAGATGTTACTATGTCAATATCATATTAATTTTTATCACATGTTTAACACTCATGGAAGACATTTATAATATTTATTATTATAATATACCTCATTCTTGAAGTCGTTCTTATTTGTCATATTCTTTATATCTCTTTTTTTCTTGTTCGTATATGGGATCATTTACATACATAACTGATTCTTATGCATTTACATATCTAACACCTAAACATTCATGCTTACATGCATACTACTAAATCTTTAACATCACATCAAAAATACCACTATCATTATTTTTTTATTCGTGAAATACACTATTTCATGCATGGGTCAATGACACCAAGGTGTTAGTGTAAATATGAAAATTTGGGTGTAGATTTTGTAAATGCATAAGAATTGTGTGGTATGCATAGAAATTTTTCTCACACACATACATATTTCTTTTGCTATATATGGACACATTTATGTTAATACATTCCTCAGTTTGAGTCATTTCTTCTGAAAACATAGGATGACCTTATTGAGGTTTAGGTGATTTGTCATGACACAAGTTCTACTAGCTCTACACAAACTATAAGATGGTAAATATTATCAGTAATTCAGATACAGCTGCTCATTTAATATGAGGATAATAATAATAATAATAATAATAATAATAATAATAATAATAATAATAATAATAATAATAATAATAATAATAATAATAAAATATCTGCTTTTTATTTTTTTCCATGATTTAAATAATGAATTTATCTTCCTTCAGGAAGCTAGAGGTCTTGATGCTGGGCCTAGACTAGTTCAGAAGCTGATTGGATTTGGAGATCACAGGACATCAAATATTGTAGCAAAGATAGCCGAGGAAGAAGTTGCTCACGTCGCTGTTGGTGTGTTCTGGTTCACCCTGCTCTGTCAAAAGATGGGCAGATCCCCATGTGATACTTTCAAAGGTAAGAAATACCATCCTTGCTATTTATTTATTTATGCTGCATTGAATTACTCTGTTTCTGATTGTTCATGCCTATGCTTTAGATTTGTTGAAGGTGCATGGTGTTGAATTGAAAGGCCCCTTCAACTATGCAGCTCGTGATAAAGCTGGGATGCCACGTGATTGGTTATTTTCTTACACAATTTTTTTCCCTTTTTTTTTTAAAGACATTTATATACACATCACATAATTCTTATGTATTTACATGCATACCACCAAAATCTTTATTATTGCATAAAAAAACACCATTATTATTAACTTTTTAAAGTGAATCACACAGATTTAAGACATCAAAGTGTTATATATATAAATATTATATATTATATATATGAATATATAAGAAATATATGGTATGTATGTAAATTTTTTAATTCATAAGGTAATTTCTGTACTTAAATTAGGTATGATGATAATTCGCTACTTCATGATGGAGCCAAGGAAAGACTTTCAGAGGTATTCTTTTATTGCCAAAATCGAGATTATGTACTGTAATGAATATGAAGCCTATATATTTTTGGCAGGTCCATGTCAGGCTTGCAGCCATTATTGCCATGGAGCAAGAGAACTCAAAACTTGGATAGGCATTTGCTTTGGGAGATCCATGCAGAACATATGCAGAAATCTCTCGTGTATTTCCTACTATCTTTGTTTTATATCATATTCTAAATAGTTATAAATTTGTTGTCTAATGTCAATAAAGAGTAGGGCTGTCAAAATGGCTCGTTGTTCGCGAACAACTCGTGTTCGGCTCGTTCGCTAAGTTAACGAGCCGAACACGAATAACACGAAAAATATTTGTTCGCTCGTGTTCGGCTAGTTTTGGCTCGAAATACTACTAATCAATTATATATATACCTTCGATGAGTAGTATTTTTTAAAATTTTAATTGACTACAAGGCTACAAAAATTTATAATCAATTAAAACTATTAATGAAGAAAATAGAATAACAATTATTAAATTAGATTCAAATGATGTTTTAAATCTTGCCCCAATCTTTAACATTTTATGGCTACGTGATTAGGGTTGTCAAAATGATTCTTTGTTCGTGAACGGCTCGTGTTCGGCCCGCTAAGCAAACGAGCCGAACACTAACATACTTTTTGAGCCCGAAATATAACGTGTTCGGCTCGTTTACACCCCTAATAAAGAGGACTTTTATCTTATTTTTTATATCAAAAGTCAAATATTCAAATATTTTTTTATATTAAAAGTATTTTTTTGCTTAATTTCTATTTTGAATGATTTAGATTTAATTCATTTATTATGTATCAAAGTTATACTTAATGTTGGCATTCAAGGAAAGCCTTTTTGCTGGAAATAATTAGCCTATGCTTGTGTAGGTCTCTTTATTGTTTTCTCCTTAAACAAATGATGAGGGTTGTTGGGCTGCACTTTCTTCCTTTTTCTTTTTTTGCTTTCTCCCTACGTGACTGATTTTTTCTGTATTTTTTAATTTAGAAGACTTGTATATAACATTTAATTCTTATCTGTTTACATTTCCAATCCCTAAACTTCAACTTCTACATAAACATCATAAAAAATGTGTATCTCACTTTTTTAAATGTTAAATTAGTGATATATTTGATGAGATATGTAGGTGCTATAAATGTAAAGAAAAGGAAAGAAAAAAGGTTGTTTGATATAGAAATGCATAAGAATTGAGGGATATGTATGCAAATGATCATTTAGTTTCTTCTTTAATGATTATCACTTGATCTAATGATGTGATAAATGATTATGTATTTTTAATCTCTTATGACTTTGGTGGTTGTTAAACCTTCTACTCTAAGTCATTAGATTTTGTTTGATGGTAGAGCCATCCTATTATGAATTATGGGAGGACTATAGTATCGAAGGAACTGATTTTATTCGCATGAGCAATCGCATAAAAGTAGCACGCCTATAAAATTTGGAGCACAAAAAATTGTTAAATTCTTTGAATGGCTAAGATATTACTAGAATAAAGATTCAAAAAATTTGAAGGCTTAAGGCCTCATTGGTGGGTAGGTCTAGCTCTTCAAATTGTACATCCAACTAGCTATCTGTTGATAGTCAATGATCGATCAAAACTAAGCAAACTCTCAGTTGGTGTAGGCATGTCAACTTGACTAAGCTAACTATTGGCTTGTTTAACATCAACGTATATTCGCCCCAGGGTAAGTTGACATCTATATGCCATTGCAGGTAGCATCATGGTCTATTTGGCAGAGGACAACAAAATCGATAGACGTTTGTTGTGTACTATAATTAAACTTTCTATTTCATCATACACCGTGAAAATGATGTTTCCCTTATAAAGAGGGGGATGAAGCTTATGAAAAGAATCTTCTATTTGGGTCTGGGCATTTCTCATCATTAAATCTTTGCCCTATTTCATCATAAGTTGGTAAATGCTCTAATTTAGGTTATATAAACCCAAAACATATAAGCATGTATGTATGTATGTATGTATGTATGTATTAAAAAGTTAAGAGAGCGCATGTCCCGACATACTCATCAAATTCACCTCCAACATTAACCGGATCAAACCAAATGAGAGCATGAAGAGAAGAAAGAAATTGTTAAACCGGTTTACACTTGTTAGAGCAAGTTTTATTTACCATTCCATTCATAGTGAAGAAAAATTGGCATTAACGAGAATAGAATAAGATACAAAAGAAGAAAATCAATGATGAGCAACATAATGCATTAAATAATACAGCAAAATAGAGCCAACTCTTTGGAGGAAAAGTAACATTGGTATGTTGTTTTATATCATCTATCTGCAGTTTTTTTGAGCTTTTAGGTATGTCTGAAGTCAATATTATGGATGGTTGTCTTTATTGCACCAAAATGTTTTCGAATGGTTTATGAGGCATTGTTCTAGTAGATGTTGTATCTTACTTGCTTCTGTCTCTAGGGCTTTTATTAACTCCTACCCTTGATGGTCTCTTGGCTTGTCGAACCATATACGGCATTCCTGGTAGTGGAGCATCATCTTGACACTTCCATATGGTTATTCTCTTGATCATGAATGAGATGAAAAGAAGATCCCCGTCTGAGTACCTTTAGGATCTTGACATCCTCTTGATTTTATTTTTGCTTTCACTGTCATCTGCTATTTTTTTCAATTGAGTTTTTATCTTATTCTTTCTACCAATTTCTCTAAAGCGAGCAAATACTCCAAATTTTCCCACAAAAAAGAAACGAAAAAAGAAAAAAAAAAGCTAGTAAATGAATATGCTAAGTAATATTATTTATCAGTGTGGCCTCAAAGAATGTCACTTTTAATTGTTATTATTTCTATTAATATGAGCAATTTAACTTAGAAGAAAAGGAAATGCTAAAAACAATACTATCAAATGAAGTCATTCAAAATGGTAATGTAATAGTTCTATAAACAAATGTTTGATGTCGATTGACGAATGTTGGTGCCATAATTAGGTTATACATAAAATGAATCAAAATAAAATGCCTATATTTTATTTTATATAAAAAAAGTCTCTTGATGGTATTAATGAATATTTCATTTAGAACCACTAATATTTATTTATTTTTATATTAATATTATTTATCATGATATATGAAACTATGATAAAAGTAGTTAACTAGAGCAAAATAATAATTAAAAAAAAGCAAGGATTTTGGTGCTCGAGATGCCTAAGTTGATTGTACAAGCAACTATAAAGGACAGCTTTCAAATAACATTGCAGCTATTTGACACATGTACAAGCAAATAACTTTAATACGTTAAGGTTATAACATGTATTCAAATACAAACTAAGTTTATGTATAATTGAAAACACATATTAAAGTGGATAGATTTTATATGATTTATTAATACTAAAACACTATAGAATAATGATGAATAACAATATAAGCCAATATTAGAGATGGAGATAGTTATCATCTTCGGAGAGCTGTCAAAAAAATTAATTGGTACTTTTTTCTTAGACCTTGAAATATTTATATCTAAAAGATTGGATACATTATTTGAAGCATAATATACTACCCTGAGAGGTAGAGATATTCTCTCGAAACAAATATAATCATTCGGATTTTGAAAATCATTAGGATTTAGAGTTTCAATTAACCAGGAATTTTTTCTCTAACTTGTTGGTGCAAGATAATGTTTATTTAATCTCGAGGTTTAATATCTCTATAAGAGACGATCCTCATAATTAATTATATTCTAGAAGTTGTGAATTCCTAAGAAAATTTTTGATTAAAGTACTATTAAATAAACTGCAGGAGTAAAATATTAAATAACATTATTTTGAAAATGTAAAGCTAAACTATAGGATAATTTGGGAAGTCACTGAGGTCTTCTCAGTATCCGTGACATACCCTACTTTTCGCTCATTTAGATTCCAGAAATAACTGTTCCACTTTAAGCCTTTCCCAATTGATTTTTTTATGATCAACCGTGAAAACTAAACTTTGAATTCTTGAAGACAAAATTATGATATTATTGAGAGTTTACTTAAGTGATTACAGTCACTTAAGTTGTAATTAACTATATGGGCTTGCGTCTATAGAAGAATTAGTAACTCAGATAATCTAAACTTTATCTAGTTTTCATATCAGATAGGGGAATGATCTATTGGAAATTTCATGGACCAAATAAAAATCATAAATCACTTAGTTTGAAAATTGAAGACCATTATTGAGTGATGTTCTCATTTTTTGAGATGAAGTGTTACTTATAACATCCTGCTTGATTATTTAAACATTTAAATATATGAGATCTGTTTAGTCTCATTTTTCAAAATAAAAATTATATATATATATATAATTATTTTCATTAAAAAAAAACCAATAAGGAGTTTACTTCTCTTGGAGGTAGTCACTCGAATCGCCTAAGTTCATCAAAGAAGGTATCCGTTCGATCAATATTAACTCTCAAGTGACTTTGTTTTGAATAGCAACTGAGATTTTTGAGATAGACTAGAATTTCGAGCTTGGGGCTATTCCGCCTATCTGGCCATCCTCCTTCTCTACCTTGGCCTCACCTCTCTGTGAAGAAGCATCACCTTTCTTCTTCTTCCTTGGCTCATTCCTTGAAAGACAACCAACCATTTCAAAATGCCTTTTTTCCTTAAGGGTCATTGGGTCAAACTTGACCAGGTCTAACACCCGGTTAATTGTCATGGGGTTGGCGTACTAGATCACCCACATATGTTTGACCATAACAGTTGACGCGAGCACTTAAAACTGTGATGAAAGCCCATTTTTTTTCTTTTAAGGCCCTCTGGTCGACATGGTAGCAATCCCCCAATTCTCACAAGTGTCTTGGAGGAATCAAAGCTTCCATTCCTTTATTTTGTTCTCCGAGTCAATTAGGTGAAACTTCCGAGGTGAGCCAAAGGGACCATATACGTCTGACTCCACTATGAAGGAAAACATGCATCCCACACGAGTAAGCAACAAAACTCATCACCATAGCGATTGATTTTGCTTAATTTGAGTGGGAATGCTACATAATGGTTGAGTATCAACTGGTTCTCTAGATAGAAGGGCAACAAGAGTTCAAGTCCCAAAAAAAAATCAACCCATCTCCTAAGTAGTCAGTCGCCTGTACCTTTGGCTCCACCTGCTCGAGCACGATGCTTATGCCATATACACAAGAATCATCCAACTGATCCGCATTGAATGATATCAATATTCATCGTTCTATCACCGACATTGAACTGAATAGCTAGGAAGAACACTTGGAGTCCATGGGAGCTATGGATGAAAACTAACCAAAGACAAAGAGACATGGAAAATGAAGAAGTGTAACACCATTTTTCAATTTAACCCTATATAGAGGGTATCCAAGTAATTCAAAATGCCTAAAATGTGTACCTCGAACTTGAAAAATCCAAATCAACTTAGCATGAAAATTGAGAACAAGCAATGATAAGAAATTTTGAAAATTAACAAAAGTTAAATTTTTATTTTTGAAAAAAATGATTTACAGTTGGATCTTTGGCCTCCACGAGTAGCACCTGACCCCAAGTCACGAGATTCGAGTACAATGCACACCCTCCAAACTTAAACTGATTTGTGTGATCGAGCTGGTTGCATGAACTTCTAGCAGCTCAGTTCAGAGTCACCACCTTGGCCCAGAGGGTCATAAGATCAACATAGAGGACCTCCACCTCATTCTTCAGGTTCGATATGATAGTCTCCATATGAAAGACTACCTCCCAAGCAAAGGCGTCCACTGTATCGTCTATGCGACACGCCAACGGCCTTTGGGAACCCAACAGACCTTCAGTCTCCCTCTTGATGTTCTCTGTGGTTGGTAAATGGTCAAGTGCACCTCCACCAAAAGCTAAAGCAGAGCGTCTCACGGCTGCATTTGGAGCAGAGGGTTGGTCAACTTCCATGATCGAGGAATCGATGATTTGCACAGCTTCATTTGTAAAAATAATTA